TTTTTTCCTGTTGAATATACTCAAGGATAGTAAACTCTTGTGTTTCTTTTAAAAAGATGACGCTTTGTTTTCTTCTTGAGTGTATATATTTGCTCAAGGAATATTGTTGGCCGTTGGTCCACTGAGAGAGATAAAGTAGCGTCCGTTGGGTGAGTGGTGTCCTCTAGAGGCCAGAACGGAACATTGGCTCGACCCGAGACGGATGGAGGGGGGCGTTTGTGTTTGCAAGGCAGTGCTGCTGGACTCGTGTGTTACCTGGTCCTCGGGCTCTGTAACACACCGTAAACGTCCGTCTCCCTGCTCAGGCCTTCAAACAGTGGCAGTAAATCCAGAAGCTCGGTGTCTGTCATGTCATCAAACCACGACTGCACCGGCACCTGCAAACACAGAAAGACACTTTAAGCACATGCTGCAAAACACTTTTGTCAAACTACCAAGTACCAACTATGCTCAGTAAATTAGTATTCAAGCAAAATAAATGTATTCTTATCAAGAACCATTTGGTTAATGAGGGATAATTGACCCGAAAATGTAAATTCTTATGTTGTCCCAAAGCTGTGTGACTGTCTTTCTTCTGCTGAACAAAACAACACATTTTGAAGATGGCCGTCTAGATTTGGAAAGACAGGAAGGTGAATAAATTGACATTTTTAGTGAACTATTCATTTCAGAAAACACTAAATGATTGACAATTTATTGATCCCGAAAAAAAATTCAAGGCATCAGCTTAAAATTCAGCTTATACAACAAAATACACACAATATCAAATATAACATATATTAAAAAAGAAAAAAAGTGCCAACAGTCCAGTATCACATTCAAGTATAAAAAATTAATGCTGTCAAATAATTAAAATATTTAAATTGCGATTAATCGCATTAATGTCATAGTTAACTCACGATTAATCGCATTAATGTCATAGTTAACTCACGATAAATCGCATTAATGTCATAGTTAACTCACGATTAATCACATTAATGTCATAGTTAATTCACGATTAATTGCATTAATGTCATAGTTAACTCACGATTAATTGCATTAATGTCATAGTTAACTCACGATTAATCGCATTAATGTCATAGTTAACTCACGATTAATCACATTAATGTCATAGTTAACTCACGATTAATCGCATTAATGTCATAGTTAACTCACGATTAATCGCATTAATGTCTTAGTTAACTCACGATAAATCGCATTAATGTCATAGTTACCTCACGTTAATCACATTAATGTCATAGTTAACTCACGATTAATCGCATTAATGTCATAGTTAACTCACGATTAATCACATTAATGTCATAGTTAACTCACGATTAATCACATTAATGTCATAGTTAACTCATGATTAATCACATTAATGTCATAGTTAACTCACGATTAATCACATTAATGTCATAGTTAACTCATGGTTAATCACATTAATGTCGTAGTTAACTCACGATTAATCACATTAATGTCATAGTAAACTCACGATTAATCACAATTAATCGCTAATTTGTATCTATTCTAAATGCCTCTTGATTTATTTTGTCCCATTATTTTCTCATTTTAATGCTCATCAACATGGAAAAGTGGATCGGCTTGCTTTGTGCAAATGTTTTTTTTTTATTGAAAACATCATAAACATATAATGTGTTCAATTTCACACTAATATTCTCACTTGGCGCAAATAATCTCTCAATGTAACACTGTGAATCAATAAAAGGGTGAGAGAAATACTGACAAGGTCCTAATATTGACAAGGGGGTGGAGAATTTGCATCAGCTGTGTGTGTGTGTGTGTGTGTGTGTGTGTGTGTGTGTGCTTGGTCATCATCAAGTGCTATTTCAGACTGGATGTGCTGCGATAATTGCTCAGTTCACAATGACAAAACACACTGATCACTTTGGTCTTGTCAATGGGACCATTTGGCAATTTTTAAAAATACACTTTCCATTCAGAATCTTATTGGCATCCATTCCGGCGTCTCACACTCGTCATCCACTCAAAACGTAGCGTTAACCAACTATTTGGCCGGCTCACACCTAAACAAGTGTGTGAGGCGTCATGCTTCTTGTTTTGTTTCCGGTCTAGCTAGATCCGCTTGCGTTTTGGTCGACGTCGCAACAAAACGTCCTTGCGCGGCGCAAGCCATTGAAATTAATGCGTTTCGTAGCACAGCGCCACACATGTCGCAACCTGTTGCAAAACCATGTGAAAAAACTACGTTTGCTAGGCCAAAAAGGCCGTTAATCACGCGATAAAAAATTGACACTGTTAAAATGGGTTTGAATTAACACCGTTAATAACGCGTTTAACTGACAGCCCTAATAAAAATATATAAATGTGTATATAAACACGATACAAAATGTATGGGATAGGTATGTGTAATGCAGGTAATATGAAGAATAAAAATGAAAATATATATGCAACCAAATGCAAAATAACAATAGGCTATATGCACGCATAAGTTCCGTATTTGACGCAAGGCTGCTCTTCAGTTTCCGGTTGGGGAGATTTAAAGCGGAGGACAACCGATAATGGCAGAGTCTTCAAAATTTACTGTCCTCCCGTCTTTGAAACTAAACTTTAATATGTTTAGATGTAATTTTATATATAGTTGTGTTTATTTAATATAATAAACAAAGAAGCATAAACAAATGAGGGGTGATGTTTTTTGTGACTAACGTTTCTTTAATATAGCCATAGAGTATAAAAACCAATAGCTCATCAAAAATTGTCCCCTATAATATTGAAGTTCTTTCTTGATTCAGTTAACTAAGTCATACTGAGATTTTGATTTGATTTCCGAATTATCGCACAGGAGGTACTGTTGACAGCAGTGGCAGAAAAAGGCATACGTGACAAAGCAAACCAAGTAATTTTGCCAACTGTGTGCAGTGTCTTGAGAAGAAGTCTCCACCACTTCAAATATAAAATGCTTTAATAAGCACCTTTGGCTCATTAGTTTGAATACAGAATAACACCTTCCAATCTGATAAGAGGACGGATGCGAGCAAGTGTAGGAGGCGACGGCACTGAGGTGGGATCTGTTTGACTGCGGTTTCCTCCACAGGTCTCTCGCTACACTCTATAATTGATGAGAAGTTTTGACAAAGGAGTGCAGAGATTCAGCGGCTGGGTTCTGCCTCATTAGTTCCACTGAAAAAAATGATTCTGGGATAAAAGGCACATTCGCACACATCATAATTTCTAGGAGTCAACTTGCAGCCTGTATTATATAGTAGAAGTGTATTCTGATGCTGTAATGTCATGTCAACTGCGGGTGCGGCCCACAGTGGTACAGTACGTACAGCGTTCTCTGGATGGAAGATGTAGGAGGCAGGCGAGTTGTCCACTATGATGACTTTGTTGAGCTCCCGGCCCAGTCGGCTGAGGTCTTTGACGTAGTTCCCCCGGTGGAACACACAGGATTCCCTGAAGAGCCGTGCCCTGAACACACCCCACTGGTCCAACAGGTCTGCTACAGGGTCAGCATACTACAAGACCAAAAACAGGGACAGTAACATTTATAATATTTACAATATAATTACACTATCTTTAATATTTAAAGGGGACCTATTTTGTTTTGGGGTCTACTAGAATAGGTTTTCACGCTTTATTTGTCAAATGCTGCAGCACCTCTCTTTCCAATCTGCCAATAATGCTCTGTCTTTATGAAGCCCAGGTGAGAATTGTTTATTAAAGGAGTAGTTCACTTTTAAAAAAACTTTTGCTGATAATTTACTCACACCCATGTCATCCAAGATGTCCACATCTTTCTTTCTTAAATTGAAAAGAAATTAAGGTTTTTGATGAAAACATTTCATGATTTTCTCCATATAATGGACTTCATCGGGAATCAAACAGTTCAAGGTCCAAATGAGTTTCAGTGCAGCTTCAAAGATGGATGGATGTATAATGGATGGAGCTTCAAAAACTATTTTTTTATATATATAACTCTGATTGTTTTCGGCTGAAAAAAGAAAGTCATATACACCTAGGATGGCTTGAGGGTGAGTAAATTATGGGATAATTTTCATTTTTTGGTGAACTACTACTTTAAGTACTGAGTAATATTATTTAACAACATGCATATTCTATATAATTAGGGGTAAGGTTTGGTTCACGGTTAGTTGCATGTAACTATGTATAATTCACTGTTATTACAACAGTAAGTACATGTGGCATATGTAAAATAAAATGTTCCCAAAAATAAATTCTAAAACTGAAGCTGAACGGTGTCCTAATACTGTAGATTAATGGAGTGTTAGTATTAAAGAATGCTATTCTTAAATAATAACAACAATAATTAATAGATTAATTAAAACACAGTAAAAAAAATCATTAAAAAAATTCTCTCTCTCTCTCTCTCTATATATATATATACACACACACACACACACACACACACACACACGAAAAACTGGGATAAAGCAACGTTAAAAGATGTCATTCTATTTGACAACAAATTAGTTTTCTTGTTGCTAAAATCGAATGTTCTGCAGGACGCATTTTATATAAATACCGGAGGTGCATTATACATCATATCAACCAGATGGACGATTAACAATGCATGAAACTCACCACCGACAAACTTTATGACTCATTTTTCCACAGAGCTTTTTATATAGATGTATATAGATCATATAGAAGGGTGAAATCACACTCAATAACATTATCGTCCTCTGTTTCACCTCGAGTATCTCACAGGAAATCAGCTTCACTGACTTAACTTTGTCACTTATTTGCATAAAGTTAAACTTTTCTTAACTTTGTTGAGTCATAGGGATACGCACACATTTCAATCGTAATGTTGCTAAAGCCACTGAAAAATCACCAACTTTTATTGAAATAAAAGTCTGTAAAATATTGACTAATTGACAAAATATTAACTAGAAATGGATCCATAGGTTTAAATGCAGTGAAGAAACCTTTGAGAGCCTTACCTTAGCCAAACTGGCTGTAAAGAGAACACATTCAAAGAGTTCGCCCATTTTCTGCAGAAACTCATCCACATGAGGCCTCTTCAGCACGTAGACCTTCAAACAAACCAAATACACAGCTATTACTGATGGAAACGAATCACTTCTCATTCCTGGAAATAGACAGCAGAGATTCTGACGCTGAACTTTCAACAAACCTCTTCGTAGCTTTTCAGTCTTGAACTCGTCGATCAGTTGCTGTAACCAAGTGCAAGTAACCAAGAACAGGCCGACCCTGATCCACAAAGCCTATCCTGGATTACTTGAACCAGGTATCAGCCACTTCGCTGATGTATTCCAGCAACAAATGAGCTATATTAACTCACACGCAGACTTACCATCAACACAATTCAGACTCCACTCAAGTGTGTTTAATCTGAGCTTTCGGCTGTTCAGACTACTGACATTTGTTTACTTCAGTCACCTTGAGCTGACTACATCACACCCAATGACTCATGGAGAATGATAAAAGAAAATGAGCGCAGATTCAGACTGTGATTTAGCATGAACCCTTTGGGGCCTCTCAAATATTACTTAAAATAAAACCGAATAAAAACATAAAGCCTCAGAGGACATATGTCGGAAAGAGAAAAAAGTTCTTAATGCTGATGTCTTAATATGGCAGAAAATCCACAGAACAGTGAGGTGGTCATCACTAAGATTTTATGTTATGATTTTTACAGCAATATTCTGGGTTCAGCAAAAGTTAAGATAAAAGGACAGCATTTGTGGCTTAAAGTTGATTACCACAAAATTAATTTCTTAATTAATAAACTTTTCTATAAAAAAGCAAAACTCTGGGTTGTGTGAGGTACTTATAATTGAAGGAATTAGACTAGAGCCAATCCATAAATGTGAATGACACCAGAAGCCAAACACATTCAAGTTACAAATGTGTAGATAAAAATAAGGTGGATACAGTGGAAAAACAGTAACAGATCTCATGGGACTTTTAATGTAATTTTACAGTAAAATACTGTTGTTGTATAAATGTACAGTTTTTGAACATTTTTTAATTTTCAGTGAAAAAATGACCGCTCACATTTGACGGTTTGTATAATAATTGTTTCTTCTTAGTTCTTTCTTACCAATTATGTACATTAGAGTTTTATGTTAGATATTATGTTGCTGAATTAATGTTTTTGACACCATGCACTTTCTATATATACTCATATAGATTAGTATTTGGTATGTGTATATTTTTTATGTAACATTTTTGTCAACCACAGCTGCCATTTTCAATAATTTTAATGTAAAAAAAAAAAAAGTGTGAAATTATATAACATTTTACAACATTGTTGTGATGAAAACTCAATGTGGTATGTGGCTTTAGAAAATATGGTTTAAAGGTGCATTGCGTAAGTCTCTGAGTTTTTGCAGAACTATGCCCCCTCTGGCAACAAGCGAAACTGCAAACGCACATGGACCACACGCCGCTTGCACGAGCTGTTCATAACCAAAGGAGCATCAGTCGCACAAATCTTTTGTTACAGTCTGATAGATTTTGTATTTTCAGTTATCAGATTCATTTACATTGTGACGTGTATCATAATTAATCCACTCTGTCGGTGTCTGCAAAGGTGTGTGTCAAATGGCCCATACAGATGAATGGCCCATTTAGATGTATGGCCCACAGAAACTGATTGGTGTGAATGACAAAGACTCAGCATTGCTCAGAGTGGATTAGCATCTCCTGTGGGAGGTCCTAACAGGTTTCTATTGTTTGTAGCCCATAATCTTCTTTATAAAGTTCTGTCTCACAGACAGAACATTGGGTTAAGATTGTTGAAGGGTGACATGATAACATCGCTGCTGAAGAACTTCTACACTACAAACCTTCAATAAATTCTTCTCCCCACAAGAACTGGTCAAGCTTACTTATTTTATGTATTGGAGAAATCCAATACATTGGCGAGCCACTGAAACCACTGGTCGGCATCACCAAAATCTAACAATTTGGCGAGCCAGCCAGGAGAGACTGACAAGAAGAGAACTCATCAGCGGCAACAAGAAGTAAACGGAATAGTTTTCAAGTATCTGAAAGACTGCATCTGCATCAGAAAAGACTGCATATGTGGACACAATTTATTTGAATCAACTGGATCCGGTCTCAAATATCCTAATTTGGTGAGTGAAACTTGTCAGCTCTCTAAAAGAACATCTTCTGAAAAGAATAATAGTTGACCAGTAAAGATTTGTAGTGTAGTCACACATACTGTGTATCGTTGAGAATTTTAGGCTTGGGCATTTTTTTTATGAGTCTGTAGGAACCTTTTAAATGATTTAGTTAATTCTCCTGAAACTGTAGGAGCTATAGAAATAAGTTTTATAGCTTGGTCCTGTTCTCGTGAGTCTCTAACAATCATTTAAGGAAGAGGTTTGGTCCGTTCTCATAAGACTGTAGGAGCCATTGAAATATAGTAAAAGGTTTGGTCCTTTTTTATGAGTCTGTAGGAACCTTTTAAATGATTTAATTAATTCTCCTGAAACTGTAGGAGCTATAGAAATAAGTTTTATAGCTTGGTCCTGTTTTCGTGAGTCTCTAAGAATCATTTAAGGAAGAGGTTTGGTCCGTTCTCATAAGACTGTAGGAGCCATTGAAATATAGTAAAAGGTTTGGTCCTTTTTTTGGAGTCTGTAGGAATTGTTAAAGCAACAATTGAGTCCATTCGTCCAGAAATTGTAGAAACTGTTTTAAGCGAAACTGTTGGAACTGATGTTGCTGCAAGAATTGATAATTCTTGACTGGGTGCTAATTCAGTAGCCAATATAAGATTAAAATGTTTGGGACTGAAGTTGCTGTAAGAATTGATAATTCTTGACTGGGTGCTAATTCAGTAACCAATATAAGATTAAAATGTTTGGGACTGAAGTTGCTGCAAGAATTGGTAATTCTTGACTGGGTGCTAATTCAGTAACCAATATTTTAGTTTTGAATTAAACATTCTAATTGTGTTAGAAAGTAGAAGTTTATTTGCCTTCTGATGAAAGATGCAGAAAGATTGAAAATCTAATGTCTAAGGGACAAATTTAAACCAATTCAGGTTAGAACTAAGAAAGAACTGAATGAGTCTTATCAATCAGGAGTTTTCTTTTCTAGAAATGAAACAAAGAAACTTGGTCTAAATGTGAATGTTTTGTTTGGAATGTAGGATTGAAAACTAAGCTGAGTTAGTAAATTAATGATTTGTCTGTGTGACTGAAATGGTCAGACTAAAGACTGCTGAGAATTTAAATAAGCACCTTTAACGGCTCAAACAATTTTGTTTTGTTTCCACACCTCTGAGGGCACCTCTCCTGTACTTGCCATGGCTGAGTCTGCACTAAACAATGGTAATGGCCCTGCACTGAGGCCAACAACAGAAAGACATGGAACAGAACCTCCAAATGTTACCATTGATCAGATGTTGGACAATCTGAATGCATATTTGGGCAAACGGCTGGGACTGAGGAAGTGCCATGATGACATGTGCCAGAAGTATGGCATCAAGCAGTATTTAGAGAGTGGAATATGGGCCTTGCCGGACATTAAAAGGGCTTATGGAAAGATGCAGCGCTTAAGGACAAACACTAACAGAGATGGCTTGTCTGTGATTTTGATAAAACAAATTCTACAGCATCGACAGAAGTGTGAGACTGACAAATCACAGCGCGAGTACAAAGCAGAGAAAGCAAAAGTTCGAGCACTTGCTGAACAACTGCAAAATGAAAAGAAGGAAAAAGAAAGACTCTTGAATGATAACAACAAGCTGTTAAAGTTGCTTTCTGCAAAACCAAATCCCATAAAATCTAGCAGCAAGATAGAGAAAGAGTCACTCTATCCATTTAAAGACCTCAAGAAGCTTCAACAACGTCAGTATCTGCATGGAGAAAGTGACAGCAGCTCGACTGAGAGCCCTGATGACAGTGATGTTGAACCTGAGACACATGCTAATGTCACCAAGAAAAACAAAAAGGTTAGACTCGCTCCGGTAATTGTCAAGAACAGAAGGACTGAAATTGAAGTTGACAATGAGGAGGAGTATGAGGAGGAAGGCGAAAGAAGAACCCGCATCGTATCAAAAATAATTAAGAAATATGTTCCCTGTAAGACATACCAGCCAGCTTTACCAGAGCAAGTAGACAAGTGGTCTAAGGAGTTACCAGATGTGTACAAACAACCACGAAAAGTATGGCAATTTCTTCAACGTTTACAGAAGATCTACAATTTACATCCAGTAGATGGTGTGATGATTGTTAATGTGAACTTGAGGGACAAGGAACAAAAGAGGATAACTGAAAGTGTTGAAAACAGGGTAGGCGAGTCTCAAGAAAACATTGAGGCTGGATGGGAAGCTGTACGAACATTCTTGTTTGAACTGAAACCTGCAGAGGTTAATTGGGCTAGAATTACCTCATGTATGCAGAAGACTGGAGAAATTGTTGCGGAGTTCGAAGAACGCTTCAGACAAACCTGGTTGGAACACTCCGGTGTAAATGACAGTGAGGATCTGGACAAGGACACTAGCATGCCTCTGAAAACTGCTTTTGTAAATGGACTGAAACCTGAAGTTTCAAAAGCACTCAAAATCCGATATGACGACTGGGACAGCATTGGAACATCTTTTCAAAAGATTGTTGAGTGGTCAGCAAAGATTGAAAGAACACAGGAAGTCAAACTCAGAGCATTGCCATCGAAGAATATGTCATACCACAGCAAGACAATGTGGAATGAGCATAAAGAAAATGAAGATAATAGACAGTCAAAAACTCAAGGAAGATGCAGGTACTGCAACGAAGAAGGACACTGGGTCCGTGATTGTAAGCTGAGTTTAAAACGTCAAAGTGATGATGAGGACAACCTGTTGAGGAGGTTTCAGCAGTTGACAGATAAACAAAAACAGACTCTGCTAAACGCTGTTGAGCCGCAGGGAAACTGAAGAGCCTCTCTCTGCAGCACCAACTTGTGACATCTCATCCGACAACTGATGGACTCCATGTGTATGCAAAAATGACAAATGAAGACACCACCCCAAAGGTAAAAGCATACACAGAAGTCTCAACAACTGAAGCCAAAGATGATGTCCAAGTAGAAGGTGCTGCTATACAAGCCGTAAAGGAGAGAGGTGCACATACAGCGGCATTAAGACAACTTCAACTTCAAGTTTTGCCATGTAAACTTATTCCAGATGAAGCACCCAGAAAACAAATGACATCAGTGATGGAAGCTAAAACAAAACTGCATAATGACAAGCAATGCAGTAAGGATGACCACAAGGAAATTGGACTATGCCCTTTTGAACATGTCATTGGCCGGCCCCTGTCCAAAGAAAATCTAACATCTGACAGCCTTGCCCAAACTGATGAAAGACTCAGCCTGGTAGAACACAATGCCAAGAATCCATTTTCATCATTAGAATCCAAGAGGGATAGCCTACAGGATCTCATGGTAACTGATGAAGCAGTTAAGGTGCAGAGAAAAGATGAGTGGACTGATGTGAGCCAATGGGATTTGAAACATCTGCCTAGAGATGAGGGATAGACGGCAGTAGTGTTTATCAGAGTCCAGATATGGCGGGACTAGGGTTTTTAGGCCCTAGCTTGTCGCCTGAGGACGAAGACATAAACATACAGCCACTGATAAACACAGTAGTGTCCTGCCAATATTAAATAGGGACAGTTTGTCAGGCAATTATGAATTATGTCTTTAAAATATTTTCCTTGGCAAAGATACGTTCCCCGTTTCTCTTTTGTGTGATTGCAGGTGTTCCAGCATTCCAGAGGATGAGCAATTGCATTCAACGTTTAGACTGCACTGGTCACCTAGATAAAAACTTCTGAACATTCACAGAACACAACCCTATCCGCCACTTCCAACAGAACACAACTCCAAAATAAAAGCCACCAGAGGACTCAAGAATTCAAGAGGATGCAAAGTTTCACTATGAACTCTTATTCTGTCATTTTAAGTGGAGCCTGTATGCAGCATGCTGTATATAATGAAGTTTGTTTTGTGATCAAATATGATCAAAGGGGGGATTGATAGATTTTGTATTTTCAGTTATCAGATTCATTTACATTGTGACGTGTATCATAATTAATCCACTCTGTCGGTGTCTGCAAAGGTGTGTGTCAAATGGCCCATACAGATGAATGGCCCATTTAGATGTATGGCCCACAGAAACTGATTGGTGTGAATGACAAAGACTCAGCATTGCTCAGAGTGGATTAGCATCTCCTGTGGGAGGTCCTAACAGGTTTCTATTGTTTGTAGCCCATAATCTTCTTTATAAAGTTCTGTCTCACAGACAGAACATTGGGTTAAGATTGTTGAAGGGTGACATGATAACATCGCTGCTGAAGAACTTCTACACTACAAACCTTCAATAAATTCTTCTCCCCACAAGAACTGGTCAAGCTTACTTATTTTATGTATTGGAGAAATCCAATACATTGGCGAGCCACTGAAACCACTGGTCGGCATCACCAAAATCTAACAAGTCATAAGAAAAGGCATTTGAGTAAATTACACGTGTAAGGGGAAAACGGGGCTAGTAGAAAACTTCGTTTTTTGCTTCCATCTATCTCCATGTTGAACTGTTTCATGTGTTTACCGTATTATGATTGTATTATTATGGAAACACGTTCATGAATAATATAAGTTATTACTTTGTATAGGATCCCGTTTGAGCCCTAGAGCAGACCGGAGATCTCTCCATTTGTTGAAAGCCTTTCCGATGTTGACTCTCGTCTTATTCCAACGCCTGGCAATAGACAAAAGTTTTATTTTCCTTGTCTTGCATGGAGTTTGCGTTGGGGTTTGGAATGAACTACAGGCCGGTCTCTTTGAATCCATCTTCTACTTTTGTCGAAAGTTGACTTAAGTTTTGTCGCTCGAGTTGTCTTTGCTGATACGGAGAATGGCGGCGAATACACAGACCTGCCAGACATAGGTGAGCGTCAGTCTCAAACTCTGTCCCGAATCCCTCTTATTTATTTTACTGTACAGGATTATAGAGGCAATCGCAGTGATCAGAGAAGGGCTCATTCAGCCCATCAGGCAATTGTTTAAGCATGTATGGGTTAGAAAAACGGCTATTTTTAACATGAAATGTTGCGCAATGCACCTTTAAACTTCATGCACCAGTTTTAACAGAAGAACTATTGTAAGGGCTTTTATAGAATTCTAAGCTTCACATTTATGTCTCAAAATGCTCCAAAACATTGGTCCCTCACCTTAAACCTTGATTAGGACGAGTCAAAATTCTATTTATTTTGTATTATCCCACAAATGCTGACGATTGATCTCATCTCATATGGAACCCAGAATATTTCTTTAATTTTGAGGGTTAGTGATGCTGAAGCCCAGAAAACAGTCCAGATTCCGACAAAGTGTGAACATTTACCCACGGCAACATTTGAACCCACTTGTACCTGATGAACTGTTCCGTCAATCTCCACAGGGACTATAAAGTCTGCGTTGCTGATAGGCTGCGGGCACAAAACAGGAAATCACACATTAGGAGTCAGCTTGAAACCGAATGTTACAGCTGAGAGAGAGAGAGGGAGGCATCTATTGCTTCACAGATAGGCTACCTGCAGTCAAGTCTTTCAGTTCTTTGAGCAGTAAGAGTGTATGTGAATGAGCGTGAGTGTGTTTCTGACAGCTGACTGCATGGAACGGAGAATGGCAAGCTTCTTTGAAAAGAGACTTGATACACTTTTAAAGAAAGCGAAGGGAGAGGGAGGAGACATGTTGGAGAGCGAAGGGAGACGATGAAAGAAACGCAGCGGGAGGCTCTGAGTTCTCATAATGCAAAGAGAGAAAGTGAAAGAGAGATGAGGAGAAGAGAGAAAACTTTTGCTCGCTGGGACTTGTTAAAAACTGATTGGACGGCAGAGAAGGAGGCTCATCCCGGTCCCCTCTCTGACCTGGTGTGCATAACATCATGATTAAGATGGATAGTTTCATTTAAAACACAATTCAACAGAATTTAATTAGAGATGCCTTTTTTTCCAGAACAATGTATACATTCTGAAAAACCTCAAAACAAGATCAATTTATGCTTTTGATCATTTTCAACTATTTATTTTATATTTAAATAATATAATGTTCTTACCAAATTGGCATATTTCTTGCTTTAATAATATATTTAAAGATTGTTAATGATTTTGATGATTATGCTTAAAAAACAAACAAACTACTCATCAATGGGGAGCGTAAACTTAAAGTAAAATTCTCTGATATATATAATTTGCTTCAAGTAAATTTATCTTATTTTAGGAATGTTTCGATATTTTTTTTAATGAGATGAAATTAACTTTATTAGTGGACACAGTTTCTAAATCTGTATCTAGAAATACAGTGAATTTTTTGTACATTTTTATTTTATTTTTTACCGTTTTCAGTACTTACATTTTTCGTTTTTTCGATACTGATTTCAGATCGGTTTTCACAGTCAACTGATGTACTCTGATCAGTTCATTATATGGCCAGCAGGAGGAGTGTGTGATCTATACTAATGAGGATTGTAACAATATATTAGCTATATTAGAAATCATGAATACATTAGTTCCAATGCTAAATCTATATTCTAATCTTTATTATAAGCGTCTATTCTCCTCTAAACAAAAGTATCAACTGCCAGACAGTGCAGTGTATAATCTATTAATTACAGAGAATGAGAGATTAGAATATGGATATACTGAAATACACATATAAAGACATTACACATATTAACCTCTCTTCTAGAACTCATTGTCCCTTGACTACTAACAAATTATTACACTGCAGTCTAAAACTGTAATTGCTGCATGCTGTTGTCAAATAGGTTTGTGTAATGACCTGGACATAGTATTCAACTAAAATATATACCAAACAATTTATAACCAAACTCAATACATAAAATAACATTCAATGATTTATCTAGCTGTACATTATCCCACTTAATGCATGGCTGCTACTTACACATAAGTAAATGCACTGACTTTGGATATTGATTTGAGATTAAATTATCTTATTATGTGGGAACAAACAGAGTGTAGAGTGCTACATGATATATGAAACTACAATACTGTAGGAGATTGGTTTACAAATCCATATACAAAAATATTCTGACCAATCAGAAACAAGTATTCCAGACATGTATTAAAAATGTTGAAACAATATTTAAATGTATAACACTTAAATATTTCAAGTTCATTTATTTATTTAATGAAGGCAATTGAAATAGAAGCGCAATGAAGTACAGACTTGGTCAGTATTGTAAAATTGCACCAAAATAAATTAAAATTGTTTAGTATTCAAATCCTTTTTGTGTCTGCTGTATGTAAATGTGAAAACCGAAAACCTCTTCTGTCACCGAGAAAAACAAGCCATTGAGGCAAAACTAAGCAATAATCAAAAGTCAAATCTTTTTTTGTGTAACTGCGAGCATACCTTTTTAATGTGATATGTGTGTATGTGTTTTGGTGTCAGGGTGGGTGTTTTTGCGTGTGTGTGTGAGGTTGTGAACGCGCACAAAGGCATGCATCCCTTTCTCTGGGCCTCTTTCTCTCAGTCGCCGCCTTTCTCTCTTCTCTGAGCGAAAACAGGAGCTGCCAGGCAGACATTTTAAAGGAGGACAGGCTTTGCTTTAACAAAACACAGTTATTAGTCTTCGAGCAAACACATTCAGTATCTGTCACTGTCTTTCTCTCTTGGGAGCGGGGATGCATCCAGCCGTGGAAGACATTAAGCTAGACGTGTGTGCATATGTAAATGTGGGGTGATTGTGTGTAATAAAATGGCCACAGTCGTTTATTTGATCATATGTGTGTATGAGAGAGGAGCATAAAACCAAGACGCCTAGAAGTGGGTCGCTGCACTCAGCAGGTGGATCCCTGAAGCATGTACTTCCTAGGGACCAGACAAACATTTAGTCTCTGAAGAGGATTTTATTCACTTAGGACCTAAAATCCAACCCAGCAACCTCAAAATACTGCCAATGCCAATGTTATTATGTCTTAGGTTGCTCAAATAAATCATTTGGCCACTTAAAACATCAGTGCAGAAGTGAATCCCATGAAATTATTCATGTTACATTTAGGAATAAGAACTGAAATGGAAGCTCTGTACCAAAACCTAGCGAGCTGCCTTCTTGTGTTGTGGCTACATAGGAAGCTTTCTTCCACCTTATTTTGCAAAGGAGAGGAAAGCTATTTTCTGTGAATGTGTGAGACGTCAGATTCATTAGCCTCTATAGGTAAATAACTAGAAGAATACAGTGAAGTAAATGGTTGGCACTAACATAAAAATAATAATAATTGGCATTAAAATAACTGGAAGCAAATGACACCGGAAGCCTCGCACATTCAAGTAACAAATAGCCACACAATGTCTTTTATATAAAAAAAGACTAGACTATTTGGATTTTTTGGGTCTGCTTTGGGCACCGGTGTTTTGCCTATGTTCCCATTATGTTGTGAAAACATTATTTCTGAACATTCAAAGTGTCCAGTTTTTTTTGCAAAGACAAAATATTTATTTTCTTAAATAATTTGCATACATTATATGAACGCTCACCCTCTCCTTGGGTCATTTGACCCAAAAAAAATAAAAAAAATAACACTTTTGTCCCACTTGAACTTGGAATATACACAAAAAAATACTGGATTCGAGTAGTTGAACAAACATAAATAAAGTAAAAAATAACTAAACAAGTAAAAAATCTATCCCTTATGGTCAATTTGACCCCCATAAGATGAATGGAATGAGAGAATTTATTTTTATCAGCCAAAAAAATAAGAACAAACACACACACACACACACACACACACACACACACACAAATGAAGGTATGAGGGCTAGCATCCCCAATGCAGAACACACCCACATGCATACGGAATTCCCATTACAGAGGGATATATATATATATATCCCTCTGTAATGGGAATTCATATATATGAATAGTTATATTTGAACACATTTACAATGCAGTACCAAAATCTAGTACTTCAAAAGGTATCCAGTATAAAATAAAAAAATAACCAAAATAATTGCATCAAAAATATTATAAAAATCAAAATATATAAGCTTTCTGGACAAAACCAAAGCATAATTTAAGGGCTGCGGGTCATTTTGACCCACATGGGACATTTTTGCTACAAGTATGGGAGGATAAGGTTAAAAAACAACAAAGACGTTGCCTACTTTTATTGAAAATGCCTTAAAATGCTCCATATGTAGGTAGCTAATTAGATTTGGGAACACAGCCAGAGTCATCATAATTTTTTCAAAAGTCAGCCAATATAGAGGCTGGTAATGGTTTCTAAAGAAAAACTGATCAGCTACCAGTTATATCAATATGCCATGTATTCACTGCAATATGAAAAATCTAGGGCTGTGCAGAGATTAATTGCGATTAATCACATCCAAAATAAAATTTTGTGTTTACATGATATATGTGTGCGTGCTGTGTATAATTATTGTATATATATGAATACATACGCATGCATGTATTTAAGAATTATTTGCATGTACATATAAATACATAATCTATATTATACATAAATATTTTACATGTGAATAGCACAATTTCTTAAATATATACACGCATGTGTGTGTATTTATATATACAAAATAATTATAGACAGCACACACACATATATTATGTAAACACAAACTTTTATTTTGGATGCGATTAATCGCAACTAATCTTTGCACAGCCCTGGCAAAAAATCATAATATAACATACATTTCTGTTTATGTGTGTGTGTGTGTATGCACAAGTACCTTGAAAGAGCTGTGCACAAGGGTCTCGTCCAGGTCAATGACCACACAGTTCTTGCCGTAATCATTAATGCTGACCTCAGGCAAGAGGTATTTGGCTGGAGGCTGGAGGAAATAATATGGTACAGATGAATACAAGGAGAGGAGAGCAAACAGAGGATAAAGATTCATGCTTATCATATTAGCCAGACATAGAGTTATAATCAAAAGCTACGGTCTCTCCTCCAATGGGACACAACATGCACAGGAGATTCCTCTGTTGAGGTCCAATACCAATCCCAAATGATGTACTGGGATCTGGGTCTTTTGGATAACCTTGAAACTATGATTACAGCTTTGTATTAAAGTGGCTTCACTGCCAAGTCATGTTGCCTAAGCACAAGCTGCCTCTGTAGACGGGCTGCCAGTAACTGGAAAGAGATGTCCTTTACTAAGCCTGACGTGATGGAGGCAGATGGACTTGAGAGGCAAAACACACTCACACACAAATCCAAAAATGCAAGCCAAGTCATATACAGCGCATGCATGCATAACATATGCACATTCACATTCAATATACCTAATATTCTTCACATGAGCATTTCAGAAGTCACGGCCCTCCATGACCTTTCACTGGCGATATTAAAACCTCGTCAGATTTGAAAAACTATCCGCAAATCGAATCATATTAAAGTTGAATCAATTATTCATATCATTATATATAATTACTCCAGTATTATGGAACAGTTAATAACATGGTCAGTCATTTTATATCATGTCTCCATTGACTTCTACTGTTCTTAAAGGGATACTCCACTTTTTTTGGAAATAGGCTCATTTTACCACTCTCCCAGAGTTGGGATTTACCGTTTTCGAATGTATTCAGCCGATTTTTTTTTTTATATTTAGAAGAATATCAGTAACCAGACAGTTTCTGGTCTCATTGACTTCCATAGTATATTTTTTTCCTACTATGGAATTCAATGAGACCAGAAACTGTCTGGTTACTGATATTCTTCTAAATATTAAAACAATCGGCTGAATGGATTTGAAAACGGTAAAACTCAACTGTTTAACTCTGGGGTAGTGGTAAAATGAGCCTATTTCCAAAAAAAGTGGAGTATCCCTTTAAAAGGGAAGCAAGCTATAAGAAATCCATAGATTGAATTCCCCAATAATTATTTTTATGTTATGACCGATAATTTTGTGTAAATTAATTAAAAACAAAACAATAAAAACTAAAATCAAGTTAATCAACCATTAATCACATCATGTGTATTGGCATTGCAACATTACAGTTTGGAAATTTGATATTTATTTTGAGATTTTTCAAAGATAACATTTAGCAGTGCTATGAATCATTCTTGTTTAAAGATTAACAATTAAATACAATATCGACCAATACTAATAAATACAATTTACGATATAGGTTTTTCGGGTTTTGCTATCATTGAGGGAACATTCGGTCCCCACATGGATACACAAACAAGACCACACACACGGTCAACTTTATGCATGTCCCATGAGTACATACAATTACACCATTGCAGTAACTCTATGGTTAATGCTTTAACCATAATTGTAGCCTCATGCTGTGTCAATCAATCCTAGCATTCATTTAATGGCTTTCAAATGCTTTACAATCCATCCCTTGCTTGCATTATGATTATTCACTTGCTCTGAGTGAAAAATGACAGCCGATTTGTGGTTCTCAAAAATTACAAACTTAACCTTTGCCCCAATCGAGACACTTGTGTAATGAGAAGATGTTTGACATCATGCAGTTGAAAATAAGAAACTCATTATTGACAGCCAGTGAGAGCGGGAGGGAAACCTGGAAACAGGCAGTGAGACATTCCCAGCTCTGATCTTCGAAAACACCCGTGGTTTGATTACAATTACTGTGAGAATTAAACCTCCTGCCAGCATGTTCTCAGCGTGGATGCTGGGTTTTTGCTGAGCAGGTAGAGGTAGGTGAAGTGTGTGTCAGGATTTGGGTCTACCCTATTTCTGGCTCAGCATGAAGGCCTGGCTCAGATCTGCAAACCTCTCCACACGCTCTTCCTCTAGCAGGTGCAGTGTGGGATGGATTTGACTTTCTGAGACTGCTGTTGTCCTCGACTGTCAGCAATATTATGACAGTATAAAGGAACAACATGAAATAGCTTTTGAAATGCATTTAAAACATCAAAAGGAAAACTCTGTCATCATTTACTCGCTCTCATGTCCTTCCCAAAAAATATGTTTTGAATGGCAGGAAAAAAGTCCATATACATTCATGTACACTAGATAAAGCGCATTCTTTTTTACAATCAAAAAAATTGGGCCAACAGATTACAAGCAATATTATTAATTCAATTTAACAAATTAGAATTGAGTAATAATTATTAAGTAAACCATTTAAAATGAGTAAAACTTACATTTAAGTCGCCATTATGCTGATCTGTGTTTGTTGTAGGTTTCTCCTTCAGTGATTCTGCTTGTTAACATCAGGTGTCTTCAATGTTGGCAATTTAGATTAATCTTTGACGTCTGTCTGTTATTCAGATATTTTTGTTTATTTTTTTTGGTGTAAACTTTACTCATTTTAAATGGTTAACTTTTAAGGAAAGATTTGATTAATTATTACTCAATTCTAATTTGTTCAATTTAATGAATAATATTGCTTGTAATCTGTTGCCACAATTTTATTGATTAGATAAAGCGTATTTTATTTTTACAGTGTAAGCTAATCACTGTTGTTTAGCATTTGATTGACTTCACTGTATGGACAAAAAACTGTTGAAAATTTTAAGAAGAACAGGTTTGAAATGACATAAGTAAGTGATGACAGAATTTTCTTTTTTAGGTAACCTATTTATTTGTTTGTTTCAGGGGCAATACACATTGATAATACTACATAAAATATGTGAAATGCACCAGGATTTAGCTAAATTGGCTAATTTTCATCTGTACTGTAGTGTTCAAATTCTATATTTTGAGTGAAATACAATTAGAAATAATAAAGGGCAGTTTGGGGGATTTGATGTTATATGTTAGGCTATGATGTTTTGATATTAACGGTTAATATTTTTCCTTTTGTCCTATTTTTTTATTGTCATTGCAAAATGTATTGCCCTGAACCGTAGGCCAGTGATAGGCTAATGTTAAATGATATTAAACTGTGACCTGTAAAGCAACTTTTTGTATATATTCACTGCATTTGTCACAGTAAAGTAATGTCTTTGAATAATCTTCATGTAATTAATTCAATTAAAATATGTAATCAATTGACTGCACAAGTTTTAAATCACTCAGTCATTTATGGACAATATGGATGTTTTCCAAGATGCTGCTTTTTATTCATTTTTTTATGTAATAAAGTAAACGTGCGAAACGCACTCCGGAAAAAATAAAGCCAGGCAGGTTTCTCTCAATAAAGAGAATATATGCATAAGCATGCACCAAAAAAAAGATAATACATACACTGGGAATAGGGATGACCTGAACCTGATCACACTAAAAAATAAGACCAGACAGAGAGAGAGAGACAAAAAAAGAAATAAAGACAAAACGGGAGAAAGAGAATAAATCAAAAAAAGCAACAAAAAAGCACAACAAACACAACACTGTAAAAGCAAACAACGCAACAGAGATTACAAACAGTTGTACATTGTTATTACATGACTAAGACACACACACAGGCATGCTGACAAAAATCACATCCTTGTTCACAGTGTAATCTTGTCATGATTCTCTCTGTGAGGGCTGGGAAACACATGGGTTTCATTTAAAGTATCTGTGGGTCTAAAGCTTAGAGTGCATGCACATGTAAAATGGCAGGACATTTCACAGCAGATCGCGGGTCATTTACAAGCAAACATTCGCAGTAACGCGATCTGATTCAGATCCATTTATAGCTGCCCGTACCTGCTTTGGCAGCACACATGAGTGTTTGCGGAGAGCCGAGGCTTAAAGTTTCACCATGGACAGTGAGGTCATTTCACATGGTACACTGCCCAGCGTTTGTGTGTGTGTGTGTGTTTGGATGTGTGCAAAAGATAGAAAGAAAAAGAACAAGAAAGAGAGAGGGGGGTAAATACACTAAACAATCGGCACAATTTGTGACGTCAATATGGCGGCGCCCGTGAGGGGGTCTGCTCCATGTAAAATAAAATAAAACAGCTTTTATTAGCCTACTAACGGACTGGAGTCTTCATTAGGAGTGTGCTAGTGCAAAATAAAATAAAATGATAAAATAAAACAATTAAAATAGAATGGCCCCTTTATTGTAAAAGAACAGTCACAGAGGGATCATGTGTCAGTACATATATTTGCACCATCCCAGTCTAAAGTTTTATTTAAGATTTATTGGAGTTCTTGGTTGTGTTTCTTTCAAGTATTGATTATGTCTAAAATCAAATTTGTTTGTATTTTTATTTCACCAATACAAAATTTAAAATCAATGTTATAATACATTTGGCTAGTCTTTATCTTTAGCAAAAGTCTCAATGTGATTCCGTTCCCAATAGGAGAAACAACTGAGATATAAAAGAGATCTCATTTGAGCTTTTTACTTTCCTTCATGGTGACCTGCTTTGAAAAATTAATTGATAAAACGGAAAACAGCGCAAACAACATGTGCAAATCAGCATGCGCAATGCATTCTTAGTGTATTCCCCCTAAGAGTACATAGCGGATGGAAGAAGAGAAAGAAAAAGAAAGAAAAAGAGGGGAAGGAACAGGCGGCAAGTAATCAATCACAAAATGCAAACATTTTATTGGAATTAAAGAACCAGTTCAGGAATGTAAGTGTGAGAGAGAGAGAGAGAGAGAGAGAGTGTGTGGGGAGGCAGGCCCATCATTTCTAGAACTGGATGGTAAACATCACAGCGAGTTCACCGAGTTCGGAACAGCTGGAAAACTTTGCGGTATGGACACGGGAACAGCGTGCACAGAGCCTGCATTCGGGCGCAGCTCACAAACAAGGAAAAAAAAAAACTCAGCTAAACCGAGAGAAAATGAGTTTGCTAATAAACGGACGTTATTCTGAGCTGACACAACATTAGCAATTCAAACGCAGTATAAACTAAACTTTCTAATTTCATGATGTATCCAGAGCCGTATTAAAAGTGGCGTTAGAGAAATACATGAGGCCTTACCTTTGCAGGGCTGCTGTTCTCCTCGGCAGGTGGAGGGAGGGAGCAGGTCTTGTTGTTGGTGGCTGGTGGTTCTGCATTATAGTCCCGGAAACAGCAGAAGAAGGGACTAAAGATACTTCTGTTCCTGTGTTTCTTTAAACTGCTGTTGGACTGGGAGACTGTGACAGAGAAAAACACACACAGACCACGCGTTGGTCACTCCAATGTAGAAACTGTTCAAAACATCTGGGGCTTTACCTTCCCTGCCCTGTAACTTAAAACCCGTCGGCCTCGCATACAGCGCACATTCACGAAGGAGGTCGTAACGAGTGAAAAAACAACGGTCTGTTGGAGTTTGCTTATTGGTTACTGTGTAAAGCACACATGACCGAACAAGTGTGCAAACAGCTCCTTTTGTGTATTATGGTACACAGAACGCGTCTCCATGGACGACTCTGTCACCTTTGCCCCCTGCGCTTGCACGCCTGCTGTTCTGCGATTGCATTCCATGAATACAACTGAACGTCATCGTGCACGGCAATATATCTCAAGTACACTTACACAACCAGCATTAAAAGCTCCCACAAATCGGACATTGTAAAGCTGAAGGCAGCGAGTCTTAAATCCTTTTTTTTTTTTTAAATCGAGTCTGTTGCGAGAGTTACATCAGGTGAACGCTTTATAGTAGTTGCTTTGCAAACACATGTATGATGTCAATAAAATATATAAAATACAAATAAAAAGCAAACCACACAATCAAAAGAAAAAAAGATTTAAAAAAAATAATCAAAATAAATGCAGAACCTTTCAAAATAAAACTAAACAAAAAGCAAAAACAAAGCCAAAAAACAAAAAGCAATAAACAAAACAAAAAAACAAAAATGCAACAAAGTACAAAACAAAAAGCAAAATAAAAGCCAAAAGCAAAAATCAATTAAAAAAAACAAAAAACAATAAAAAAGCAATAAACAAAACAAAAAGCAAAAACAAAGCCAAAAGCAAAAAAACAAAAAACAAATCAAAAAACAAAAACCAAATCAAAAAACTAAAATCAAATCAAAAAACTAAAATCTAATAAACAAAACAAAAACAAAAAAGCAATAAACAAAAACAAAGCAAAAAGCAAAAATCAAAACCAAAAAAGAAAAAAGCAATAAACAAAGCAAAAAGTAAAAACAACAGAAAACAAAACAAAAACAAAAAAGCAATCAAAAAGAAAAAAAGCAATAAACAAAACAAAAAAGTAAAAACAAAACAAAAAAACCAACAAAACAAAAACCAAAAAGCAATAAAAAAAATAAAAAAGCAATAAACAAAACAAAAAGTAAAAACAAAGCCAAAAGCAAAAAACAAAACCAAAAAAGAAAAAGCAATAAACAAAACAAAAAAGTAAAAACAAAACAAAAAACAAAAAACAAAACAAAAACCAAAAAGCAATAAAAAAAATAAAAAAAGCAATAAACAAAACAAAAAGTAAAAACAAAGCCAAAAGCAAAAAAACAAAACCAAAAAAGAAAAAAGCAATAAACAAAACAAAAAGTAAAAACAAAAGCAAAAACCAAAGGCAAAAAACAAAAAAGCTTTCCTTTTGAAGTAACTTGTTTGCCAATCTCATAATAACATTCTGGTTATGCGCATTGCGCACATATTTGCATGATATTTTGCCCAGCAATTGCAGGAATTTCACAAACGGTACCATGAAACCAAAAACATGGAATATTTCACATTACCTGGTTGCACTTCAGTTGATATGCTGGGTAATAAACAGAGAAAAAGACTGGATGACAAAAACTTGCTTTCTGGGTTTTCTAATGAGGCCTGCAGGGCACACCAGTTATTACTATTGGAAGAACAGGTCACTCTTGACAGCAGCGGAAGAGGTAAGCAAAATAGCAATCGGAAAATGTCTATTTTATATTTTTCCTTTTAAATTGAGTAACAATAGGCTCAATCACTGATGATTGAGATGTCAGTCTAGATGTCTTGTGTGATTGAGATGTGGGTCTAGATGTCTTGTGACCTACTGTGTGTTAAACTGGCACGGTACAGATTGGGTTTCTCGTTATCCAGGTCAGTCGTGAAGGCCAAGTGTTCTCCAAGTGTCTGTTGCACCTTAAAGTGGTAACAATCACCCAATTATACACTTTCATTAAATCAGAAACTAGTACAGAGAAGTAGTTTTTTTGCAGGAAGACTTGTAGTTCAACCTATTATTTGTTCATTTAAGCTGGGGTAAATAGGATAACATTCAATTTGCATTTAAAGACTCAAAATTTTTGTGCCATTGGTGGTCTTGGCCAGGTACAGTATGTCTTGTCCAAATGCTTTTAAATCTCATTTTGTCTATCCTCCTACGTTAAATAAAAATAAATCCCGCGAGCCAAGCGGTTCTCAATCTCATAATGGAAGAAGCATTAGGGTAATAGCTAACAGCATATGTCTGATTACTGCTATTGGAAAACACATAAGGTCACAGAGAGCATCAGACCATGAGGAAATCCGGCTCTTGTGGACCGATAACAAAGAACTCAGTCCAGCCCAAGTACATTAGTCTTTATGATGATCCCCAAACCCCAAGCTTTGGCTTGAACCATTAACCACCTGTATGAGAACAACATGTCACTTCTGCTTATATTTTACATAAGGAGATTTCACAACATGTGAAGGCAGTGTGACTTGTTTTGTTCCTTTTTTAATATATGGTCAAAAAGCAAATGTCCTTTACTATATGAGAGCCCACGTGTACAAAAATACAGCATATTTGGGGACGCTGCGTTATTTTACATACCAAGACAAATCATAACAGGTCATTCATACTGTACATAGAAGTCTTAGAAAAATGGTCATGTAAAACAAAAGTCGGTGGATGAAGCATTAACTAACATTATAAAATACTATAAAAAATGAAACTAAATGTGCAAGAGATAATACAAAGTACACACAAAAAAAAAAACTATTTCCACAACTGCCTCATTTGAGTTCTCATAGTAAGAAAATAGAAACTTTAAAGTAGCATTATAAAAATTAATTCTCTCAAATTTTTCCTTTTTGGAAAATTTGATGTAAGATCAGATCGCTGATTATGGATTATTTTGAAGTCTCAGTAAATTATGAGATATTGTTGAGTCCGAACAGGCGACACATTTGAAATGATTGCTGTCCGCTTTATATAAAGGTTTGCACCATCCCAAAAAAAAAAAAAAATAATATAAAAAAAAAATAAAGAAAACAAATTTTATTCTGTATTTTTGAGAAAAATAAAAGAACAGTCACACAAGGAGTGTCTATAAACAGATCGCAATGTACTTGAGCAACACTAATTTGAGAGATAGTGTGGGCGTCACTAAAGACAGAGAAAGAGGCCAGACCCTCTGATTTTCTATCTAACTATAATTACCTGTCAGTTGACAAGCTCTGAGGCATAGCGAGACGCAAATGAGCCGAACAACCTTCCACACAGAAATGCTAGGGTGATTTAATACTTGATTTTAAAACACAACTACACTCTTGGACAAAGTTCTCAAACTTATTATAACAAGTAACTAGTCTATACTGAAGATACACAGTCTGTCATAGAACAAATGGTACAGTCCAACCTCTGTGCTCTCACATTCCCAAAACACTGTTCTTGTGCGATCCCTCCCTCCCCGGCCTCCATTTTGAGACTATTTTTCCCGCCTTGATCGCCTGCACAGCACGGCAGTCTAATAATATGCAGGTGGGAAGGACACCGGAGGGAGAGATGGAGGGAGGTGGGCCAGTGTACCCTTCAGCAGCCCTCTGAACAACCATCCGTCCAACACAAACAGGGTTTTCTCCACACGCACTCATACAAACATACCCATCTAAAACCATATTCTCTGGTTGACCACAGGAATGTGGCTGGAGGCAGTTTGCATGGCGGTGCCGTCCCTGCTACAGCGTATTCTATTCAAATTCAACCTCACTTGACTAAAATGCAATCATTTGTCTAACAAAGTAGAGATTAGGTCTGCACGATTAATCGAAATACGCAAATCGCGTAACATGGCTTAGCGTGATTAAAATCGCAAAGGCTGCAATTTGATTAAATGTTTCAGAGTGTATAGCTGTACACAATCAGCTCTTGTTCTCAGCATCTCAGAGTGGCTTGGTTGCATTACTTGCATATGAATACAATCAAAAAATGTTTATTTTATTATTGAATGTATTTTTTTTATTTTTTATTTTTTAAATAAATAGCATCTGAATTTAGGTTAAAATAATGTACAACTAACTATATAGTTTAGAGCATTAGCAGATTTTTTTTAATCCTTGTGAAAGGTTTAATTGTTATTGAATTAATTTAAAGACAAAGACATTTTTTCATTAAACCACTCTTTAAAAACAAAAAAAAAAAGCAATTTTAGCTTTCTAAACCGAACCGAACCAAACCAAGACGTCAAAACCGTGAGAAAACCGAACGGTCAGTTTTGTGTATCGTTACACCCCTAAACTTCAATAAGGATTAATCTATATATTATTTATAAAAAAGAAACTATGCAGTGTAATTTTTACATTTGATTTAAAAGTTATATTTATTTTTGCAATTACTAATTTGCATACAGTATTTGTTCTTATTGTATTACTGACTGTTTACTTGTGTAAAACTTATATTAGTTAGTCTAATTTATTAGTTGGCTGTTCATGCTGTGGATTTTTGTTCATGGCATTCAGCTGCAAAAGAATATATTGCAAAAAGGCTTCATCTTTATTTTTTTTACCATACTGGAATCAAAACTTGGAATGGATAATAATCAGAATTGTTCATTCAAATGATACCCAAACCTAGCTTCCACAGGAGACATAATGAGTGTGGAGATAAAAACCCTGACGGCCCTAAAATGCTGATGTTCGTTTGACAGCTGTATTTCTGGTAAATCACACTGCACAAAAACAGAACTGCACAGGGAATCGCAATATGCAAATCAAGAGTTGCAAAGACAAACTCATACTGCGGTTTCCAGGTTAGCGAATGGAACTCTGGCTGAAGCTTTGTTTTCATCGTGTGCGGACCATTCCCACAGTCTGCGAGTGAGGTAATCCGATGCAGAGCGGTCACATGGGTGGGCACGGTCTCTTTGCTTTCACAGTCGAAAGAGGAACGCAGAGGAAATTCCTGACATTCCTGACAGGAAGAGATAATAACCCTCTGACCCAA